ATATTTAAGGTTGTGAATGCTGTTTACGTTTTCCTGCCTGGAAATAGGTGAATCCAGAATCACGTCCGAGAGTTCATGATTTAGGAAGATGTTGTAATTATTATGTATATTATTTGCAGAATTTGATCACTTGGATCATCAAATGAGAATAAGTTTTCAAAATGCTTTGACCTGTCGTTAATTTGAATGTTATATCGTGCTGCGTGTTTTGTGTTGAAGCCCATTCCGGAACTTTTGGACTCATACATGTTTTTGTTTACAGTGTTTTTCCTAGGCCGTCGGGATACGATGACACAAAACCAAACAAGGGTAACAGGGTCTGGAATCTCAATGGGGGTTTCTATGTCATGTAATATGACTCTGTCACATATGTGTTACACAAAGTTAACAAGAAAATGACGAAAGTCTATTTTCGCTGTCAGAAAATAATGACTATTTTATTTATATATTGGGATTAAACATGCTACATACACAGTATGTCACGGAGCTGTGCTTCAGAGTCCAGGGTGTCATTAAACAAGGATAAAGTAATAACGAAAACGTGGTACTAGGTTCACGGGTTCATTATTATCAGGGCGGTCGGGTAGCCTCGTGGTTAAAGCGTTCGCTCGTCACGCCGAAGACCCGACATGGGTACAATGTGTGAAGCCCATTTCTGGTGTCCCCCGCCGTGATATTGCTGGAATATTGCTAAAAGCGGCGTAAAGCCATACTCACTCACTCACTCATTATCATCAGCTACATGTAGTTGTAAGCTTAGATGCCAATAAAAAGGATAAAAAATCCAATTTACACTGACAATGAACACTGATTAATTAAACTAGAACAAATATACAAGCTGATTAGCTAGGCAAATGTATAACAGTAATAAAAAGGGAGTAGTTAAATTAACACTTTGACAAGGCATTGACAAGATGCATACACAGCCTATTAAGTCGGCTGCGATAAATTAACACCTGAGAGTTAATTTACTCAAGACTCTAATGAGTGAAAAACCTCGGCTGGGTAAATTAACGGGTCTCAGCTACTTGACCTAAACTAGACAAACGCTCGATAATTGGTTATCCACGGATTACTAGAAAAAACGGGGTACGAAATATATAAGCCTTACTTAACTTACTAACTAAACCTAAGTTTCGACCTGACAAAACCAGAAGCAAGACGACCCTTAAATGGTCTAGCTTTTCATGGAGGTCAAGACGATTTTGCCAAGGGGTATATTCGTGTGCGCGTGAGAACAACCTATCATACGTATCATGCATGTTTTGTATTATGTCAGGTGGTGAAATGTAAGATCTTTTACTGTTTGGTTGTTTTGTTTAATGTTACTGTTTGCTGGTGAGGGAGTGTGGTGTTGCTTTAAGGGTTGGGGAGGGAGTAAGAATTCCAGGTCAGGTCAGAAATTAGGGGAATAATGTTATTTTCTTGAGAGGGGCTCTACCTTGAAAGTCACTTTATCATGGGTGGAGAATAAGTATGTGGAGAGGAGGGGGGAGGTCATAATTACCAGCCGTAGAAAAGGATGACCCCGAAAAATAAATTGGGAGAGAAAAAACTTGATTAAAGAGGCCGTGTTGATGGAGGCGTGTCCGTGAGCGACGAATGATGGCGGCAGTAGTCAGGGATGCTTGCTGGCCTCGGCGGTTGGCGTGGGGTCAGGCTGTACAGGAAACGTTAGTGGTAGTTGGAGTTGTATTGACGAGTTTTGTTGTTTATGATGATGATGATGAAGATGGTGTACACTCAAAGAAGTGGATGAGTGATGATACGTCCGAAGACCATGATGGATAGAAATAGACTGAAACGAACGTCGCTACCAAGATTATTGCACTCATGTTTGCTCATGTCACGGTCCATTGATCGTTTAATCGTCTTAAGTCAAAGTGACTTATTTCAGGGATAAGCTCTCGCTGTTTATTTCCAGTTATTTTACTGAGCCGAGGACATTGACTCACAAGAGCGTTGAGTCAATTGACTCAGGTGTTGATTGGTCGCAGCCGACTTAATTGGCAGTCTACACACCTGGTCCGTACCTTGTCAAGTGTGTTGTTTTAGCTACCCTCCTTTTTATAGCTGTAATATAGTTTTTGGCTAAAACATATATTTGCGCTGACAGAATTAATTTGTGATCTGTGTGAGCGCAGATTGGATTTGTCTATATTTGTCAACTATTGCAAAAATTAGTAGTTATTTAATAAACCTGAACCTATGAATACACAATGCCATTGAGAAAGTGGTCAAATGTAGCAAATGTTTTATTTGGGATAACACTCTCTTAGTAAAGTATAGATTCTCGTATTTGTTTGGGTTCCGTCCCGTCCGGGATTCGAACCCCCACTGTCAGAGTGAGGCACCTAACCGCCAGCACACAAAGTCAGCGATCTAACCCAACTCAGCCACCGAGGCTTCCACAAAAATGAAAGTCCGACAAGCGGTAGTCTAGATCACATACTTTGTGTACCCCTCTGACAAGTGTAAATTGGCACGGATCCCATAGCCGAAAGTTATGAATACACAATGCCATTTCGAAAGTGGTCAAATGTAACAAATGGTACATTTGGGATAAAACTTTTTTGGCAGTGAATCTGTACTTAACTAAGAAAGTGTTATCCCAAATATAGCATTTGTTAAACCTAAACATATTACCACGTTGCTTTATCACTTTATTCTTATTTTGTGACACCCCTGAACATTGGAGCACAACCCCGCGACAATAGCGACGTGCATGCACGTGTGTGTGTGTGGCTGCTTGTACCAGTTGTGTACCATGTGTTGTTCTTGTTGTTGCATTAAGTGTTCAAGAGGTCGCCTTCTGCCAAAGCAATTTCGGCTGACCTGTCACCTTTGGGACTCCTGTCTGTGAGTAGGGTACACATATCTGTTGTGAGTTTGGTGTTCACATAATTTCTGTTTTTGTATTGATATGATTTCTATTTTCTTATATTGATATGAGACTAGTCCGGACTATTTATAGTGAGTGAGTGAGTATGGTTTTACGCCGCTTTTAGCAATGTTCCAGCAATATCACGGCGGGGGACACCAGAAATGGGCTTCACACATTGTACTCATGTCGGGAATCGAACCCGGGTCTTCGGCGTGACGAGCGAACGCTTTAACCACTAGGCTACCCGACCGCCCCCGGACTATTTATAGTGCTAGTGCACTGAGATACCACCTGCAGTTAATACCCCACTCAAACACAGTATTCAGATCAGGTTTAAGGTATGTGCCATGTTCAAATAAGAAAGAGGAATCCTGAGTCAATGTACTTAGGTTACATGACAATTAATCCTTGATGCTAAATCTAGTAAACGATCGCGATCCGCGAAATCACACATGCACAGAACGGAAAGATTTGACAAGGTCTTAAACAATCCGTATGCGTAGAACGGTTGAATTCAGCACTTCCGCTAAGCGATACGAGCACCGCGTCAAACTCAGGCCCGTAATCTTACACGAGAGAGCTGACCAAGGAAATCTGAGAAATAGAACAACCAGTAGATGCTGTTGCTTCACTGACAAAGTCAATCAAGAAAAGGGAGGAGCTTGATTGCATCGTTCTCACACAGTAAATTCCGATGCCACATAAAGACGTTTTGGACGGAAAACCGATGATTAGAAAGCGTACAAAAAGAGTCGTTTTTTCGTCCATTGACCAGATACGGGAATACACGACGTGTTCATGTTTCCTGTATGTCGCAGCAAGGTGATGATTTCCTCCTTTAGCAATTCACTTTTGTGAGGGTTAATGCGGTAGGGATGCTGATTAACGGGAATGGCGTTGCCCATGTCCACCATCGCGTTGGTAGTACCAGGAGCTTCTGGAAACAAGCCCACGTGATCAGTGATCACAGTCTGCAGTTCTTCTCTATGTTGGCCCGGAAGATGCTTTTGCTTGTTCCCTAAGTAAGCCAGGACCTGGTTGGTTCGGAGTTTGGTTACCATAACTTCTTGACCATCATTTTCTTTGAGAGTGACTACACTGACTGGCTGCTAGGCACGTCCAGCTCGCTACGCCTTCAGCAAATTAACATGACAATATCGTTCTTTCCTGCCTCGATCTGGTGTACTGACAACACACCCTACCTCATTAACCTGGCGTTTAACTGTGTAAGTACCACCGTACTTGGGTGGGCACACAGAGTAACACTTCATCACGGGCTTTAAATTGTGCACATGCCTTCTTGTCAAAGTGAGCCCAGCAAATTATCTGTCGAATAATCGTCTAACCAGTTGTCTTTTACCAACTTAAAGCTCAAATGGGGCAAAACCCAAGAGATTCCAAAGCAGCGAACAATACATACGCGATTCCAACATATCAGTCCCTCTCATGCTCCAAACAAAACAACATCGCCCCCGTGGTATAGTGACAGAGCGTCCGCCCGGAGACTGGAATGTCCTGGGTTCGATCCCTGGCCGCATCATACCAAAAGACGTTAAAAGATGGTACTTTGTGTTACCCTGGTGCTTTTTGGCGCTCAGCATTAAGGGGCTAAAAAAGAACTGGTCGCCTCGGAGTCATTATACTGTGTCTCAGTGGGCTAGCACTATAAATCGGCATCAGTCCGGACAAGTACAAGCAGCCACTCTCACACACACACACACACACACACACACACACGTTATATAAGTGCAATAATGTTGGACGCGGCGTTATATATATCACCTTCATATCACCTCACCTTCAAACAACAACACCTCAACATACTTGTCAAATTCATACAAGATACAAGTTTGTGATTATACAGCTGGGTCACCAATTCTCAAACAATGAAAGAACAGACACCGGAGTATGGTAATCGCCGGACTTTGCCGAACGGTGACAACGCTGGGCGATAAAGAGAGAGGGAAGCTGTGCGGTTACTAGACCGTGACTTGATTTGTCATACGACCTGGTACCATTTAATATGTCCAGGGAATCAAAAACTGCTACATTAACGTCACCTGAGCTCCAATTCTGCATCACGTGATGCTCTGCTGTGTGGATAAAAGCGAAACAGCTTCGTACTTCGGAGCGAGTTTGACACAGGACTTGGCGCAGATATATCTCCAACGATAACCCTCCAAAATGATCCTGCAAGCAGCAATACTCCTCGTTGGAGTGTCTGTGATTGTCAGTGGCAACGTCTGTTGTCCACCGGTGCGATTCACTGCATATCAAGATGTCACGATTGTCAACTCAACGACTAATTTTCGTGTAAGTACAACTCCCATCAACCTTGGTAGTCGTATGTAACCACTCTCTCGAATGCTTTCGGCTTTCGGAGGGACACAATTGATCAGGAATGCCTTGGCTTCAACAATAGTTAACAATTGTTTGGACAGAATCCGGGTTCCTCAATCATTTTTTATATATTACCCTCTCAATTATAGGCTTTTGTAATCACCCATGTAATGCCGGAACAAGCGGAATGACGATTCGTGCTAAGGCTGGGACGGGTAACTCGGGTACTCGGGTCGGGTGGGTCCTGAGTAGGACCCGGATACCCACAGGACTTCCCGGACCCGTGGTTAGTCACGTGATAGTTTGTTTAATGCCAAAAATTATCTAAAACTCTATGGTTACATTATAAGTCACTAATGTTCCCATTTCTTTCTGACAATGCACCCATTCCTTCTGACTTTTACATGTTTGAAAAAAGATAAAACTTCATGCAGTAAACTTCAGTGTATGCACGACCAGATCGTTTTACTCGTGTATCTAAATATATTTTGCCAGGGCTAAGGTCACACTCTTCCAAATCGGACAGTTTGTAACTATCTCTAAATATCTACAGCGAGTACCCGGGTAAGGTCGGGTAATGGGGTGGTGGGTAAATTTGGACGCCAGCCCTAATTTGTGCCGTATTGAGGCCATATATCAACCATCTGTCCTTCAGAATGGTGAGACAAATAGTGAGAGTCACTTTGGTACATTGTTGTAAACAAACTATTCCTGTAAACTAAAGTATATATACTCAAATGAGATTCCTTTACCAAAGTGTTAAGTTTCATTGGTTTGTCGTATCTTCGCACATATTTGAACGCTAGCTGGTTGAGTCTTCTTGAAGGTTACGGAAAGGGGCGGTTTAAGACGAATGTGACAGGAGCGAGTTGTGGTGTATGCTTCAGATGTATCACATGCTTGTTGTCATGGTTATTTCGCAAATCGGCCATTTGATAATATCCTTAGTATGAGACACTTGGACACTATGCACACGAATATGTCCTGTTCTCCTCAGAAAGTACATGCGTTCTTCTGCAAGGTGGCATTTGAATGAAACAGGCACCCTCTACTATCCAGTGTATAATATGTTATCATCTAAAACTTTCTTCCACAGAAGGTGACAATTGTGACGTCAACGGCCACCATGACGTCATAATCAATGACATCACTAATAAACATATCCCTAAAGTTCCTTTTTCTTTTTTCGTTTTTGTCTTTATTGTCATCATTTTTTGTTTCCCACACCGTGACACCTGACACCATACCCACACACTGTCGTGTTATAGCTAATCTTTCGGAATATATTAAAATGACTCATATATTATTACTCAATGCAATAGAATGTTCCTATACTTATCTTATCTTTTGTTATGGATATTGACTCTAGACCACCTGAATAAATCTGACCAAAAGGGCACACAAAATTGGAAATATAGATAATGTCTTTACACAAATAACTATTTATATTTATTTCTTTTGCTTCAAGGGGTAAATTGATATTATGCCACTGAAGCTGGTTTGCTGTATTTTATAGGTTCAAGACTGCTTGTTAATGTATACAAACAGAAAAAGACGGGGAAATGATTTTCGATCATAAATATAATGTTACCCTCTCGTCTTTTGATATCAAATGTATCAACACTCGTAGATAAATGTTTACAACAACCAGGCAAGCCTTGGAGTGTTACACCTTTATCGTCGGGTGTAAATATATTTGCTATCAAAAGACAAGAGGGTGAGGTGTCTATATATTTCAATTCCATGATAAAATATACCCTGGACCCAATTTGCCATGCTTGCAGTGGAGACTACAAACACAGATATTCAAATATTTTCCATACAAAGAGTGGGCTTTTTCAAAGTCGGGTGTGGATAAGTAGGTACATGTATGTGTTTTTTATGTTTGAGACCTCGGCGATTCGTGTTCACGGACATGTTTTCGTATGTTCCTTTTGACGGAAGGTTGATTGGGTGCCTAGTGGCTAAAGCGTTCGCTCGCGACGTCGAAGGTCCGGGTTCGATATCACTCATGGGTACACTGTGTGAAGCCCAACGCATGATACTTGCACGTCTCAGGGATGTAATGTTATGTATAGCTCTTTGTTGGTCAGCAATGTCAAATGTCAACGCAATTCTCAAGATCATATCTGAGAAAAGGAGCTTCTAACCGATAACCCAGGAAGTATTTATGATGCATAAAGCAGTTAAATTTTGTAAATACTATTCATATAATTAAGGTAGGGAGTTGAAGTGGTAAGGTTTTGCTTGACCTTCACTCACAGAAATGGCCATTCGAAAAGTTTCGTCTGCATCTATGTGAGCTAAGTGAGCTATGTGAGCTGGTCCAAACCACAATTATTTTGTTCCAATTTTCTCGAACATTATCTGGAACATTTGTACTTTTTTGAAATCCTCCCAAATATCAAATGGTAGGTTGCATACAGCCACCCTAATGTTTCCAATTATAAATACAAACATGTGAGGGTCAAAGATAGTCAACTATTATCAAGTTTGTTTTCGGTTTTAAATTCGTATTTCACTAGAAAGTGCCAGAAGTGTCAATTGCAAGTTTAGGAAGATAGCTAGAGTCACGGGACTTTCTGTTTTAAAGGTTCCTTTCATTAGGATACTGGTATTATTAAATCTTGAAGTGCATTTTATGAGTTTATTTGCTAACTGGTATTAATTTTGTTGAATTAGGCATCTTTTTGAACCCAAAGAAACTTTTAAATCTCATTGGAGAGGAAATGCATCCGTTATCTCAGCTAGAGGTATATTTATCTTGTTGGAGGTTGTAGGATAAGAATGGTAACGAATGTATGTCGGCTTCTGATTTTGCAAGCACTTTCACATACTTCCCTCGCTTAATTTGAAATATTGCCTTTGTTCAGATCTGTCGAAACCGACAACGCAAAATGACAACTTGTGGTATTATTGTATATCTTCAGGCTGATTATTTATTCGTCTACGACGGTGTCAACCAAAGATACCTCATCAGCGGTGGCCTCGCCGGCGCATACCTCGGAACAAACAAAGTAATCTACGACTACAAGCAGGTAAGCGAGACCTCCAGAGAACGTTACCTCAAGAATGTAAGCGAGACCTCCAGAGAGCTTTACCACTACAAGAAGGTAAGCGATACCTCCAGAGAGCATTACCACTACAAGAAGGTGAGCGATACCCCCAGAGAGCTTTACCACTACAAGATGGTAAGCGAGACCTCAAGAGAGCTTTACCACTACAAGAAGGTAAGCGATACCTCCAGAGAGCTTTACCACTACAAGAAGGTAAGCGATACCTCCAGAGAGCTTTACCACTACAAAAAGATAAACGATACCTTCCAGAGAGCATTACCACTACAAGAAGGTGAGCGATACCTCCAGAGAGCTTTATCACTACAAGAAGGTAAGCGAGACCTCCAGAGAGCTTTACCACTACAAGAAGGTAAGCGAGACCTCCAGAGAGCTTTACCACTACAAGAAGGTGAGCAAGACCTCCAGAGAGCTTTACCACTACAAGAAGATAAGCGATACCTCCAGAGAGCTTTACCACTACAAGAAGGTAAGCGAGACCTCCAGAGAGCTTTACCACTACAAGAAGGTAAGCGATACCTCCAGAGAGCTTTACTACCACAAGAAGGTTTGGGAGAATTCCTGAGTACTTTACAAGAGGGAAAGGGAGACCTTACTTTTTGTGTCTAAATCATGTTAATTTTTTAATTTGAAACCACTTGCCCACTAAGTCCTTTGCCTTGCATTTTCACAATATTCGTAAAAAGGTAATAATGATTTTTGTTTGCAGAAAACTGGTTACCGTATAGATACAGTGGCACGTACGTGTACAACATTCCGCCTTAAGGGACAGTTCAAGGATCAGGAGAGTGTTTGTGTACCAAGTAAGTCATTTCAAAATATATCAACAAATGTTCGAGTGTTCTATCTATGGAGCACTCGGTGAGAGCTCGGACAGAGTAGAACATCCCGGTCAGCTTCCCAAAGCAAGGGTGTTAACTGACCAGTCCAGTTTCCACCCTTGCCGAACTAGGTTGGAATTATGGAGATATATTTTGGCTGGACTAACGAGTCTTTGCATAGTCCAATCAAAATCGCGTAACGAATTCGACATCCGGTTCGACATTAGAATCGACCCGTCTTTGTTTTATCCCCCAAATATCGAGCACCAAGATCAACAACAGCAAGTACCACCTTTTAACGCTCACTGGTATGACGCGGCCACATTGGTATGTGGATCGAACCACAGGCCTTCCGCTCTCCGACAGACAATTCATCCGCTACACCACGGGGGTGGTTGAATTGTGCATGTCCACCCAACACAATGCCAAATAGATTCCATTGGATTTCGACGAATCTACCTCGAACCCGTTTAACTCGAATAAACGTGTCTAGCATTTGTTTGATTCCTACGGTCTTCGCCACTTGAAATAGAATTTACGAAATATCGCGATTATGAATTAACGACGATAGCTGCATGTGTGGTGATACTTATAATGTGAAAGCTAGACCTTCCGTCAACAAGGAACATTACTTACAGCAATGACCAAACTTGCAAAGAGCGCCTTTCAAGAAATATCCATTTTCCTCGTGATAATCATCGTCATTGAGTTTTGAGCACGTGGTTACAATCCGGGTAGGGATAGGCAGTCATGTGACTGCGAGACCTTACACTTAGCAGGGGGTGCATCTCTAACTGGGTACACAATATTGTATGTTCGAAGCGAAACGTTTTAAGTACAATCCTAAAGAAGTATATAAATATGTAAATAATTTTGAAAAAAAATCACGGTGTAACCAATATTCGATTCCGCTGGCTGACAAATTACTTTTTAGAGCATTTTTGGGAAATTCCACCTTCCCAACCCGTAACGTAAGAGGCAACTAACGGGGTCGGGTGGTCAGGCTCGCTGACTTGGTTGATGCATGTCATTGTTCCCAATTGTGTGGATCGATGCTCCTGCTATCAACCACTGGATTCTCTGGTCCAGGCTCGATTATTTACAGACCGCCGTCATATAGCTGGAATATTGCGGAGTGCGGCGTTAAACAACAAGCCAACCAACCAAACCAACCCAACCAGTAACATGAAATGGTCTGCTCCTATCTTAAAATTATTTGTAATCTCAGATGGCGCCGTTCCCTTGGGCCCTCTCTTTCTCGGCTACGGTGATACCAGGCTGAATTCAAAGGCATACACCTACAATAGTACCAACGCCGAAGGGAAACATCAGAATGTTGTGGCCGTCGTCACAGTGAGAGAATGCTTTCCTGTCATCAGCACTATAACCACAGCCGGCGAAGGTGAGTACATGTTAGTGAGAGAATGAGTAAGTACGTGTACTTGAGTTGGGTTGAGTGAGTGAACGAGCGAGCGTTAACGCCTCTTTGAACAGTAATATCGCCGAGTGTCAGTCAAATGGTTAAAAGTGAGTGAGATGGTTGACCCCAGTTCGAAGAGCATTTGTCTTACATAACTCAGTGTCAACTTTATTAGAAAACGTCATAGCTTATAGCGGACAGAATGAGTGAGTTGAACCAATCTCATTAAAATAAGATCTTTTATTCCCATACAATACCTTTCTGCGTGAAGGTGAGTATTCTAATCAGCCAATCGGGGTCGAGGCTGTTAATCCTTGGCACCAGTGAGCGAAGCATTCAAACCAGCATATCTGATTTCCGCACATCGACAACAAAGTTAAACGTCCAGTTCCGAATGAAGATAATAAAGACGACACCATTTGATAGATGTGAATACACCATGAAGTTTCTGAGCGGGTCTCTCTGGGTTTTGGTTTGTTAAAATCGAAAATTTGAATCGAGATGGTATAGCGAAACGAATCGTTTTAGAAAACAAGATGACATCTGATTGGCTCAAGAACCCACGCATCTTTCACTTACAGCGAAGGTCTGATCTTCACGCAGAGAAATATCGCATCGCAGTAAAAGATTTGGGTATATTTAGACTGACTTCGAACACTTATTCCACGGCTCGTAAGATTCATGTCGAAGGGACAGTAATCGTCCTTTCGATTCTACATTTGAAAGAAGCAAAGGGAACAACCGAAAACTGTTTTTGGTTGGTGTTTGTTTTGTAGGATTTACTCTGATCATTATAAGACAGAACATTTTTCCCAAATTCGAAAGAAGTAGATAAAATCACCAAGATTTGTAAACAAAACGAAATCCGATGGCGTGAGATCAACCACTGGTTTCCTAGCCAAGAGTTAATTATGTACAGGCCGTCGCGTTATGTAAATGTACTAACTGTGAAATATACTCTAACTGTCCAGGAGGAAACACTCTTGAAGCTCTCGGGTACAACGACGTTCGTCCGGGCATCAGGGACATCACAGTGTTCAACATTCCGTCATATTGCACTGTGTGATACCGTACGTACAGCACTCACTAAATTGATACGATTCACTCAATGACACAACACTGCACATCTTATACTAACGTTTCACACAGTGGCACAATCAACATTAAATACTGACTTGCCACTCTATGACACAGCAGTGAACCTTGTCTGGTAATATTGCTGTGCGTTCCTTTACTTTTTTCCATCAGTATATAACATTATTCTTCAACATGTAATGACATATTTATGCGAAAAATGATTAGTTTTGCTTAATTATGGCGAGTTGCGTCCGGGGTCATTAGACATTGATACAATGCAATGTTTACCTTGAAAACACCTTTGGTCAAAATAGAGTTCCCCGCACCTTCGCAAACGGCTGTATTTTTTCTGTTTCAGAACATTGCTGAAGACATACAGTAGGATCTGTCTTTCTCAAATCACTGTCAGAATATATCGCTTTGCAAGATGTACATGAAATGAATAAAATAAATTCTTTCAGAAAAAAATGTCTTACACTTCATTTATGTTTATTGACTGTGCTACAAATTCACTAAACCTTGGCTTTAGATGACAACTCCTGTCACATATTAATCAATGTCATTCTCCAACTGACCCGTGAAGATCCGGGGTAGAATAGGTCTTCAGCAACCCATGCTTGCCGTAAAAGGCGACTATGCTTGTCGTAAGAGGCGACTAACGGGATCGGGTGTTTAGGCTCGCTGACTTGGTTGATGCATGTCATCGTATCCCAGTTGCGTAAATCCATGCTCATGTTATCAATCACTGGATTGTCTGGTCCAGGCTCGATTATTTACAAACCGCCGCCATATAGCTGAGATATTGCTGAGTATTCACTTTAAAGTCGTATACGACCTTCGACCTTCGCCAGCGAGTTGAATGATCCAGGTTAATTGGAACGAAGTATAGAACGGGTTATAAAGTTTTGTATTTGGTAATGTGTAGGTTTGTTGAATATGAATTTTTTAATACCTTTTATTCAAAATGTAAAAACATTAATTATGCGCTGAAAAATAGAGCTGGCTTGATGCGTTAGCCACCTGAGATTGTCTGGTGGACACCGTTTTACCTTACTGAGCCCTCACCCTGGTTGTTGTTATAAGGGATTAAGAGCTACAGCTCATTGCATTTTTGGTTACAGTCTGTCTGACTAAAGTGGACATGTGCAGGTGAACTCTGTTCAATTAGTGTCTGAAATGCCCCAAAATGTGATTTCAAGACAATAATAACCTAAAAGTAAATTCACGTGCGTCTGCCTTTCCCCTCGTTCTCCTTCGAAATCCTTGATCATGCCAGAGTTCTGAAATTAAGTGACAATGTTGCTGAACAGTAGAATCTGATGGACGTATTGTGCAGAACCTGTTTGACACTATGGGTTCCAGGACCACTAACACTGGGAAGAGTGGCACTCTAAGCTGAAAATGTTTGGTTCTAACCGCCCCAACATCTCCAAGTTTGTAAGCTTGTAGACATCATTAAGAAGAAATTAACAGTCCCATGCTGAGACCTTTCTCAAAATTCAGGGAATTTGTTCTTGCACTGTAGCATATCGTGTATTTCATCTGTATATGTGCAATGTGTATATGTATAAATGACTACGCTTATACCGCATATTCTGCAAAAGACTATAATTAATCACCTTATTATTGTCTCTCCATTTACCATGGCTGACTGCACTAATACCCTTTTAACAGTGGACACCGGTTACAGTATACATGTAGGCTTTTAGTTCAAAAAGGAATATGCAGGAAATTATATGTAACAATTAACTGTGTACTAATTACATGTTTGAATGTTCAGTTTTGCGTTCTGAGATACAGTGATGTAAGCATCTTCTACAATTAACAATACATGGAAATACTAAAATACAAAATTCGATCAAGTAAAAATGACGGCGTGACAAGACGAATCAACTATTTATACCCGATAAAAGAAACTGCCTTATTTTAGGAACAGTGCCATAACAGGACATTAGAAATTTCTAACAAGCAGATACATTAGCGACAGTGACTAGATTACATGTACCTAATCCGTATCAATCAAAGGTGTAAAAAAAAATGAAAATCATATCTGTCGGAGACCTACCAAATTACCAAGTTTTATTAATACTATATTTATTACAATGCAAATACTTTAGTGATATATTTTTCAGAGGAGAGGGCACACACACAAGTATACTGCTTCCGTGTGTGAATGCAGGTTATACTTGGCATCTCAGTTCTCAGTTTCATACCGGTTGTATATCTGAATTTGTATATGGAACCATGCGTACAGCATGACAATTACTTGCTAGTCGTCAGTCTATAACACACATAACAAGGTCAAACAATTTTGGGCACTGCTTTTGCAAGTTGTTTTGTACAATAATGTTTTATTAAAATCTCTTTCAATTGCTTTCACCATTTTCCTTATTCCATATCATGCATGTTTATGTTGCTACATCTTATTGCTCATGTTCCCAAGTATTATAAAACACTTTAATATTTCTCCTTCCAAACTTAACGTTATAACATTTCAGGTCATTACCATCATCTAATACACAAGCGATGATACCAAGACATATTTTATTCGGTTTTCTGGTCTATTCGGTCTTACAATTGATTTTATTAGTCTTTAAATCTTATGTCTGGTACTTATTTTCACAAACAGGGCTGTTAGTTGATATAAGGAATGTAACATCCAGTTAAATTCCCAGTTGACGTACTTACTTTTTTATCAAATAAGAGGACTGTATACGACAAACGTTAGTCTCTTAACGAACTTTCTAAAATTAATATTGTGAATAAATCGTTAATACGCCAGTTGTGACAGGGATGATGGTATGGTAGCTGTAGCAGACAGATTGACAGTCGTTGTTACGTGCGTCACCAGGTTATTAGTACGGCATTGACCTTGTTGATTGTTACCATACTTTAAGGATTTCTGTGGCCAGTGGCGGACGTATTTCAAACTCCTTCCACACTGACACCGCATCAAATATATTTGTGTACCGATTACATAACTCTTACGGACAGGGTGGGGTGGGAGTTCACCGGACGACACTGTGTAAACTGGGCGGCTCCTTTGATATCACCTCCAAACATACTTTTATTGAATGACCCATTAAACGATGATACACATCTCGTTGAATATATCAGGGCACTAATTCATCTTTCATAAACTTTGTTTTGTCTTTGTGCTTAATATATCCACATATCAACGAAAATATGTAATACATGTATCCACAAAAAAATATACATATACAGGCTAGGTATTTGCCCACAGCAACACCTGCATAACTGTTTATTCACGTGTGGTGTGGTAGATTGTAATTGACCGAGAGCAGGTATTGTAGAATCACCTGCAAATGTGGCCGACACTGTAATTAGATACAACGTACTAATGAGAATATGAGAATTATCATAAGAAGGCTGGGTTTTTTTCTAAACTGTTACCATTTTCATACAAAAACTGGCAAATCATTTAAAAGTTGCTTTCGTGTCACAGTATTCACTCAAGTTTTACTCAATCGCATTGAAACATAATTCCCATTAGTCAGTTCGACACCGCATGTAATTAAGTAATTATTTTGAGATTTCGTTAGAATGTGAGATATTCAGCCAGACGTTATGCAATGAAAGACGGATCGTTTTTTTCCCATTGAAATACGCGCACGCGTACCTGTATATATTTCATACATAGTGTCACGTAATTGCCCAGTGTGATGTATCAACGAGACATAAAATGGGAAATGAAAAAAACCTAACTAAACTTTAATGTTGTGGAAAATAACGCCAATGAATTGGCGTACAAGCGCATGAATTCGTATGATAAACTGTCAAAACGTTTTGAGAGGTAAGGCCGGGTTCATTACAGATCGTTACAATATATAAAACAGGTCAAATCTGTAAAACTCCTATAAAGGAAACATCCAACCAAAGGCCCGTTTTAAATACCAATGTAATGATATAATATAAAGTATATTTCACATGATACAATATACTTTGTACACAATTAATTGATGCTTTAAAGGGACTGACGAAAACATGGGCGAAATATTTCAATAACGCCGTAAAATAGTTGAATTAAGTTAAAATGAGTTAAATTATATTTCATGAAACGTCTAAGAACACCTTTATGTATTTGCGAAACAAAACCACGAGTTTTGAGCAAAAGGAAATATTCTCGCCCATGGGCGAATAATTTTAATAACGCTATAAAATAGTTGATTTAAGTTAAAATGAGTTAAATTATGTGACATGAAACTTCTAAGAACACCTTTATGTATTTGCGACACTAAAACACAGGTTTTGAGCAAAGGAAAATATTCTCGCCAATGGGCCAAACTTTTTCTCGCCCATGGGCGAAATATTTCAATATCGCTATAAAATCGTTGAATTAAGTTAAAATGTGTTACATTATGTGCCATGGAAATGGTAAGAACTCCTGCATGTATTTGCGAAACAAAAACATGAGTTTTAAGCAAAGGGCCGGCCCATGGGCAAAACCTTTTTCTCCCCCATGGGCGAAATATTTCAATAACGCTATAAAATCGATGAGTTAAGTTAAAATGAGTTAAATTTTGTGTCATGATACTTGAAAGAAATACATTTATGTATTTGCGAAACAAAAACACGAGTTTTAAGTAAAGGAACATATTCTCGCCCATGGGCCTGCCCATGGGCCTACCCATGGACCACTCTTCTTTACATAGTGTAAATATTGAGTTTTTGAACAATTTCTTTTTCATTTTTTCTTCCTTGGTATGTTCCCATGAAAACAGCATGTTTAATTTTGTAAATACCTTTGACCGAGACTGGGTAAAAACCGTAATGTTTCTGGACTATTGGGTTTCCAGAATTAAAATGGGACGTGTTCATGCCTTTTTCGTGCACACGCCCAGGGCAATATATTGGTTTGTAAACGTCATGAAAACAGCAACTGTGTGATTGGATTGGATTGCGGTCCACCTGACGTTAAACGTTCTTCGTGGGTGTTTAGTAAGCGTGTTGGTGTATTTGAAGATACACATGAATTAATTGTTCATCTACGTACGCTGCAAGATACTTAAGAATTCACTTTCACTTTGTGTGAGTTCATTGGAATATGAACCTTCATAGAGTGAGGGCAAACCTGTACACGATGTTTGGCCCTAACAAAGTGAGTGTCAATTCTTATAATTTATTATATCCCTATTTTTACATCAAATGATGTAGGCCTAGATCCATATACAATGGTATTTAGTATCGGATACGTGTGACTTCATGTTTACACTGACAACATGAGCGTTTGTATGCTTAACATGCTCTACGGGAACAACTTTTGTAGTTTCTTTACAACTAAACTATTAAAAATTAATAATGTCATCATTGGATGAGGAATATCTGACAATGGTGTAAAGAAGTACACTAGTAAGTCAGTCCCAATGACATCACGTCGTAATACATTTACATCAAGGACAAGACGTCAAAATGGCCGACACGATAAACGTGAAGGGAGGGATTTCAGA